TATTCAAATTTAGTCAAACCTTCTTAGAGTCTTCGTCGCTCAGATTTTGGTACTTACAAAAAATTCGTTTTCCGACTTCCTCGGTTTAAAATGGTGTAGGAAATTTTTCTTTCAAGGAAAACGTCTGAAATTTTTGGGACACGGAGCTACATATATTTACAATATTATACGAAAAAATCAGATCTCTAAAATTATTTCGTTCCACCCCACTACTAATTACAATCTCATCAACACTTCCCGGGCGACCCCTCTATCTCAGTAGTTGTTTAAGTAGACTTTAAATTTCCTGTCACCTGAGCACGATAAATACGATCCCCCCGTTGTTTCACCCAATTCGGCTTGAAGTTCACCAAATACCTAGCACAACGTACGACCCAGGTGGCGACAAGGTTCAGGATGCATGTCAAAATTTTACACATGATTTGTCTACAAAAACTTGGGGTCAATTCTGCTATGAAGGCAACCGTTGCAATGGCACATCCCATGAAACAAATTTCCAGACTCGCGAGTGCTTCCCCAAATTCGGCCACATCTTCAACCTTCCCGTTCTGCATTTCGACTGGGTAAAGTGTATGATTTCGTAATCTAGCCTCCCCTTTATGCTTCCCGGTCTTTTCGCTAATTCCCGCCGCACTTTGCATTTTTGACCGAAGGCCGGACTCCACCAGGGAGGAGACTCGTCGACATATTTTATCTGAAATGAAAACTTAGCACTGTAACGAATTAAATACATGGGCCTTAATTATTATGCCTTGCATCCTACAACATCCTTCGCACATTTATGGTTTTGTTATATTAACACATCGTTGCACATTTGTCGTTTATTATTGATAATAGTAAAACGTTTACGATTACCAATGACATGTAGCATTTGATGAATATGCAAAGGTCGTTGGCTATAATGATGTTATGATAAGAGTATGCTGGCTATGACAAGGGGATTAATTATTATTAAATAATTCTCCCTAATGATCAATAATTTTAATGGTCAATGATTTTAAAATAATCACGCTGATGACATATACCAGCGTGATTATTTTAAAATTAAGACTATCTTTTATTCTTAATCCACCCGACCTTTACTCGAAATCGCATTGCTAAACATCTTTAAATTAAAAATGCCATAATTAAACTTTTAAAACTCTAAAACTCTTAAATCCCAGTGTTTCAAAATCGCACATTTGAATCAAGAAAATGGCAACCTTTTTGATATTTTTTGATCAAGTGAATTATATCATATGCATATTTCACTAATAATTAGTACAATAATAATTTTAGTCACCAGGTACTCTTACCATGAATGTGGCCCATATCAGGAGCGAGGAAGACGACGAAGAAATATGGCACCATTACATCGGTAGAGCTCCTAAAGAGCATTTGTCCCTTTCGAGTCAACAATTCGGCGAGAGCAGCACGTTTGAGTAAAGTTTGTGTCCCAATGCAAACTGATGGTACTTTGTCGTCTTGTGTCTCAGCGAGGCACGCGTTCTACAAAAGTTGAAACTAACATTAATATAATGTCGAATTAGTCGTTTATATTTGATATCAATACTCACCGTTTCCGACAGTTTTGAATGTTTACTAATCCTCTCAATTATTCGGCTGACAAGAGACTTTGTTCGTCTTAATGCCAAAAAACGTATGCTGGATGAGGTCTCATTAGCTCCATTCAAATTTATGGAGTAGTCGAGTCGTCTCGCGAGTTCGTTAAATGTTCGCGGTGGCATCATGACCTCACCCCTAGTGAGAGTTGTGACAAGCTGCGTACGGAACTCGGAGTTCAGCAAGAGAAGTCCTAGCAGCCAAGGTGCGAGAAGTAGACGAATAACGTGCGAGGGACCAGCTCCTATCCTGAAAGCAACATTCATGAACAATCCGATGAAGCGATCGTCGAAATCATCATTTCTCAGCTCTCAGAATTTGTTAAATAGACTGGGATTAATTTTTAGATCGGGTCGATCTGCTCTGGGAAGTTTATAAAACATTTGAGTGGTTGCAATTATGAAAAAATAACCACTCTAAGGGAAGTTTTTGAGGTGAATCTCAAGCCAGGCAAGTCTTCACAAGATTGGAATTCATTGAATCTGGTTTACTCTAATTAAAATAACCTGATCACCATTCTATTAATCCAGTTACTGTCTACATATTTATCCAGTATTTTCCAAATTCCAAGAGCTGCCAAACGATTGAAAATGTTCCTATTTTGATGACTTTTGTGATGACTCATCGAGTCATACATCTATTTGCAACTCCTACCAATTTTCTCAGCAGTATAAAAGAAAATGTTAGCTTACGTGTTGAAAACGGGAGTGAAGGGTTGATCCAGAGAAGCTCGGATAAGTTCGCCGTGAATCCGCAGGAAACACCGTATCGGTGTATTCATTTGAGGCAAACCCTTGATCACTAACATCATCACGATTGATATTACCCCCACTGCAACCATTTCCAGTATCCAGACCTCTGATTTGGCGAACTCTTTCAGCACGGTTCCAATTCTGGCACCGCTGCCATGATTCCCGTGTAAACGCAGACCAGACATGAAGATTAGACCGTCGACCGCACCCGCACTTGTGATTAGGACATCTCTTGCTCTGTCCCGTGTGAGTGGTAGCCATCCCGCTGAATGTGCCCTGCCACTCACTAACTCTCCCACGATCCCGCTCCACTCACCTGTCGCTGGGTCAAGGTTTCCATACTCGCTTAATTCCGTATTAACGATGGGAGTCGCGTTGAACCAGGCGCTAGTCTCGGTCAAGAAGGATGGACGTCGATCCACAGTGTGGCGGGACTCAACATATGTTGAAACCATTGCCTGATTAAGGGTATCCTTTCGCGCTCTATTGTACTCCCAGATGAACGGCTTTCCCTTAAAATTTGACCGGTCTCGAAATATTGGCACGGAATTATGAATTAGACGTACAGTCCACAGGGCGTCGAAATCGTAGGAAGAAATACTATGTGTAGACCCAATCAAGACAATGACAACGTGACGGCACTTTCTTTTCATTTTGACTAAGGCTCCCTCTAGTGGGAGATTTGCCATTATTAGGACATGAAACGACCGTGACGCACCGCCTGGAAAGGAGTCCCAATTTTCCCCATATAATGCTCGTGGTATTGATAAGATGCGGTGAATGACTAGGCTACATGATTCCGCGAATTTGATAAAAGTCCTCGATCGTGGTGGAATCTTGTTTTCGCTGGAGAAGTGAAGGAGGGCTCGCTCCATATAATTCTCGGCGGGAAATATGACTTGGTCCATCTCGTCGCGATGGAAACCTATCATAACCAAAACACAAGGATTGCCTGAGATATTTTCAACACTTTTCAGCACATCGTGGATATTAGGAATGAATGATGAAGCGAAGGCTATAAAGCAAAATTGCGAAATTGGTGATATAATTTCGAATAGGGTTGAAATTTTCATTTTGCTGATACAGTTTTTTTCAGGCTGTTGGAGTATATCGCTTTTTAGATTGAACCACTGGTCACCTTGAAACGTGTCAGAGGCAGGTGGAACATGGGTCGAATATTTTTGTGTTTCGTTTTTGTGTGAGTAGGACATTAAACAGTTGTGATTAAAATAGGTATATCTATGCCTTTTTTGCTGGCACTTATATATTGAAAACCTATCCGCGACTAAATATTTTTTCTCAGCCCCTACTCATGTTATAGAGTTGAGGTTGATACACAATATTTGACAAGGCTATGCTTGAGCGGATATGCATGCGGAGCTGGTTCGTTCTAAATTTTTGTAAACTTCTACGATTTCTAATTGACCAATTTATGCATTTAAACCTGGGGAATTATGAACTTGCATGTTAAATAAAAGATAATTTGTCACGCCACGACTTCGGCTTCAGGTTTGAGAATGTGAGATTGAGTTATTTGTATTTCAATTTCTTCTTACAAAATATTTGCCATGCACTCGATACCCAAAATTTTGTCATTCACAATGGGAACATAGAATAGCCGGACTCATTTAAGAAAGAAAATGATGATAGCGTCCAGTTGAAACGCTCTTGAGAAATAAAAACGTAAGGCATTTCACGGACACATTTGAATCTACATATCTGTAATGTGTCCACTCTTCACATTCCCATCCTACTAATGGCATTTGTGGGGATACAGCCTTGAAGGATGTACCTGATCAAATGTACTCCATTGATGAAACAAATCAATATACTTATCTCTGGGCTATTTCCAAGTGTTTTAGTCTTTTGAAACCAGACCCAAATATGGTTGTACCTTAAAAATTCGTCGGAGAATTGTTAAGCTTGACACCTTCACCACAAGCCATGGGTAATGCAATGAACAGCACGGTCACAACATTCTCGGAAGTACCCTCAGGCAACGAGAAAGATTGGACATTGATAACTATTGTTGTAGCGTTTTACTGCGTATTGACGGTCATTGCGATTAAGTTACTCTATTGTTACAAGTGCAACCCGACTAGGTAGGTACTCGAAATTAGGTAGACATATTTAGTTTCATACACAAATTCAGCTATTTGAATTTTCCAGCGTCGAAAATCCGGATGGAAACGAGGAGATGCCATACTTGCATCGGGAAGTGGATCAGACTGTACGTCCTGGTTTTCAGGTAAGATTGTGTTTCATGTGCAAAACTTTGTGGATTCAATAGGATAAAAACCAATCGATCTTGTAGGTTATGGCTGTTAACTTGGACCATGAAATGGTTCCGTTGAACCGAGACGAAACTTTCCTTTAATGCAAGGTACATCTTCGTTTAGTTTAATTGACCTGGAGGAGCTGGATTAACCAAGGTTTCAAACATTAATTACCTGTTTTGATCGACGTGGCACAAATTCTTTAAAAATTTAACGTACAATGTATAAATTGTATTGATCCGCTACGATTCGAATATGTAAATGAACTGAAAATATTGAAACTACTCACTAACGATATCGAGTAAGGCAGGCAATGTTAAAGTAGAACAATTTAACAGAACTACGTATAGATTTGGCAAATAAACAATTATTTTTGGAGATAGAGTTGTATTTTGTATTACTCAATATACATGTCTATATAATATGCAACTACTATTTGGAAAGTACTTATTCCCCCGTCTTTGTGTAGGCACGTATACAGGTTTATTTAAATTACTCCTTTAGTGCTAAATAATTTAATAAAACGTATCCTTTGACCAGGTGGTGGGAACTGTCCTAACAATTTACTCTCGTTTCTGTATTTAGAAAATTGGTAATAATAAGCTAGACAATTCCATTCCACAGAATGCAACTTTGCCTATTTGTTTATCACAAGAGGCTAAGCACAGGTATCTATTGTATAGCCATCTACTACTTGCTACTATTCTGTGAACAATGATGAAGCAATTTATGTATGTATATGCAGCATAATTTGCAATATAATTAATACAATTTACAATTTAAATTTACAATTAAGTCTCAGGGATAAAATATGGAATAGTATTAAATTTATGTACATCATAAATTATGTGATCCCCTAAAGGTACTAGTCTTTCAAATAGCTTACGAATTTTTTCAAAAATCAATGGTTCGTACTACAATTCAATTTACATTTCTTCTTAGAAAAGTACGATATATATACTATTCTTTGTTTTTCCCAATTAGCTTGGAGGTTGGCCAGATCTCTGACACATTTTTCTATCCATTTGACAGCAATTATCAGCAATTCAAGTATTCTCAACTTCGCTTTAGCACACCTTCTTACAAGCAGTTCTATTATGAAGACAAGCATTGCACCGGCACATCCCATGAAAACAATTTTCAGAATTGCAACTGATTTTCCAAACTTGGTAACATCTTTGACCTTCCCGTTCTCCTTTTCGACCGGGTATAAAGTCCCAGTTCGCAATCTATACTCTCCCCTCCGTTTTCCAACTTCTTCACTAATTCCCTCTGCATTTTGCATCCTTGCACGAAGGCCAGACTCCACCAGGGAGAACACTCTTCTACAGATCTTATCTGAAATCAAATTTAACATTAATAAAATACGTATCCCTTAGTCCGTAGAGACGAGGATTTGCTCAACGCAACTGAAAAGGTTTGTCCATTTCCTTAAAATAATAATTTTAGGTTTTGGTAAAAACTGAGACAAAAACCTTTTTCCAACATTTACGCCAACACTACGCCAGTCAACTCTCAGACACCATGCAAGACACTATGCAAGACAACTCTCTGTTTTGCCGAACCGTAGTAGTACCTTTTTATTTAGGACTTCATCATAATCTTACCGTGAATATGGCCCATGTCAGGTGAGAGGGTAACGACGAAGAAGTACGGAACAAATATATCGATAGAGCTCCTAAAGAGCCGTTGTCTTTTCTGAGTCAACAATTCGGTAAGAGCAGCACGCGTGAGTAAGGTTTGCGTTCCAACGCAAACTGATCGAACTTCCTGTACCTGTGTCTCTGCCAGGCATGATTTCTACAAAAAACTAACATCAGAACTAAATTTCGCCCCAGCTCGGTTTTGGTATTTCAAAACATTTACTTACTGTTTCTGATAGTTTTGAATATTTACTAACTCTCTCGTTTATCCGGTTGATAAGGACATTTCTGTTTTTTAAAGACAAAAAACGTGCAGCCGAAGGGGTTTCATTAGCTCCATTCAAATTTATGGAGTAATCGTGTCTTCCAGCAAGTTCTTCAAATGTTTGTGGGGGCATCAACACATCACCCTTCGTGAGCGATGTAACAAGCTGTGTTCGGAATTCAGAGTTCAGCAAGTAAAGTCCAAGGAGCCAGGGTGCAAGTATTAGCCGAATAACGTGCGAGGGGCCTGCCCCTAGCCTGAAAGCAACATTGGCCAACTCGATTAATTTTTACAGCAGATAATTGCAAATATTTGTAAAGACATGTTTAATTAGTTTTTGAAGGAGATTTCAAGTTTAAAACGCCTGTGGTCCTACGGCAATTGAGGTTTTGTTTTACAATTTTCGCAGCTCTCCCAACAAATGTTCTCTTACTTGCTGAAAACAAAGCTGAACGGTTGATCCAACGAGACTCTGATAAGTTCGCTGTGAACGCGTACTAAACACTGGACTGGTGTATCCATTTGGGGCAAACCTTTAATGGCCAACATAATCACGATCGATATTACACCCACCGCAACCATTTCGAAAATGCACACCTTCGATCTGGCAAACTCCGATAGCACGGTCCCAATCCTGCCAGCGTCACTGTTGCCTCTTAAATTCAGACCTGACACAAAGATTAGACCATCGACCGCACCCACAGTGGTAATTAGCGTATCTTTTGCCCTGTCATGTGTGAGTGGTAGCCATCCCGCCGAATGTGCCCTCCCATTAACTAACGCTCCTACGATTCCGCTCCACTCGCCCGTCATTGGGTCAAGCTTTCCATACTCGCGAAGTTCCGTGTTAACGACGGAAGTCGCGTTTAGCCAGGCGCTCGTTTCGGTCAAGAAGGATGGACGTCGATCAACAGTATGGCGGGATTCGATATATGTTGAAATTATTGTTTGATTAAGGGTTTCTTTTCGCGACCTGTTATACTCCCAGATGAAAGGTTTTCCATTAAAATTTGACCGATCTCGAAATATTTCCGAGGAATTTTGAATTCTGCGAAAAGCCCAGACAGCGTCGAAATCGTAAAAAGATAAACTAGAGCCAAGCAAGACACTTATAACGTGCCGACATTTTCTTTTCATTTTGAACAAGTCTATATCTAGGGGAAGATTTGTCATTGACAAGACGTGATAGGAACGTGCCGCCCCACCAGGGAAGTTGTCCCAGTTTGCCCCATATGATGTTTGTTGCAAAATGCGGTGAAAGACTAAGCTACAGGATTGTCTGAATTTCATAAAATTCATCGATCCGGCGGTAATCGATATTTCGCTGGAAAAGTGAAGAAGGGCGTGGTCAGTGTAACTGGCCATTAATTGGTACACCTCGTCACGATGAAGGCCAATCATTACCAACACAGAGGAAGTAAGATAACCAATTTGAGCACTTCTTAAAAAATCTTGTTCGGAAGGAATTCTAAACCAAAAGATGAAAAGAAAAATTGGGAAATTGGTAAGATAAGTAGGAACAAGCTTAATTTCATTTTGTTTCAGCGAATTTTGCAGTACGTTGGATTATATTGAGTTATTTGATTAGACTAAACAACAGGTCACCTTGGTACGTGGCCTAGGCAGGTGGAACTTTATCGAGTAAATGTTTACAAAAAGAACAAAGGTTTAAATGTGAGAGTGTCACAAATTTCTTTTTTTGTTCGAGGCATTAAAGCTCAATGATTAAATATAAATACTTTTCTGGCATTGATGGGCCGTTCATAAGTTATGTAACGCAAAAGACATGATTTGTTTATACTGCCACTCCCTCCTCTCGCGTTACATATTTCATGAAGGGCTCCTTACATTCTAAAGATACGCTAGGCTTGTCCTTTCTGTATTTTCCTAGCTTGTATGTATAACTCGGAGGTGATCAATTTATTAAAACGTAAAGTATTATCAACTGCATGTTAGATAAATAAATGAGATATACTTAAACTTGAGGATGGCGTCTTGTCCAATCCAAATTTAAACAAGGGCCCGTGCAAAGTAATTGTCACCGATCTGATGCGTTACAACATCATATATGTATCTCTCAGGTCATTCATGGCGCACGTCACTCGAGTATGACCTGTCAATTATTCAAGTGTTCCCTAAAATAAATACTTCACATGCTTACTGTTTGGTCTCACATTTGTCAATTCACCCACGCAACTCATTCATATCATAAATATGTAAATTACTACACTCTCAATAATTTGGTGATAAAATTGTTAAATACGGAGTTACTATGCAATTCTACCGCGTGGTAACATGATAGTAATACTTAAGTTGTCTTCTACATAATGGTAAGAAATTACCTCCCGTGTCGGTAATACTCACTTTTATTACCACAGCGTTGACATTGGGGGCTGAGCTGTATTTAGCCACTGCATATATATATGTTACCCTAAGGTGGTAAATTGTTAGCGAGGCGGTAGAATGGCATAGTGGATTCGCGGGTAGCACTCGTATGTACTTATAAATTAATTATTGAGAGTGCCCTTTCTACTGAAGTTATTTTCAACATTTTGGTAAATATAATTAAGTATAATTGTCACCTTCACATAATTATTCATCCTTGAAAATAATTCGGTCTTATTGAGAAGTACATAAGTGAACTTTAAATTATATTTATATTAAGTAAACTATTTGTATATGTAAAATCCAAAGTAACGTTAACATAATAAAGTTTCTTCTGGATTTAGCCAGTGTAGTTTATGTACTTATTTAATTTAGAATTTAGAGTGTTCACATTATTTTTAAGTATGTATTAAATTGAAATACATCCATGTACTGGAAAAAAGAAAAATTACGTAAATTTGTTAATTAAAGTTGTCGTATTTCTGTATATTCAATGAAAACGTATTTCATCTTGATTATAATTTCGGGAAACTTTGAGCGTAATCAGTTATGTTTTTTAAAATAAAAATATAATATATTACTTAAAACTGGACACGATTTAAACATTTATACTTATTTGCATGCATATATAATACATATATTGACAGGAATTTGTTGGATGACTGCAATTAAAAAAATATGTTCATTCCTTTCACACATTGTCCACCTAATTGCCGTGATAAAGATAACTTTCCAGATAAGCGAGGCATATCAGACATGTCACTGTTCAATCGATACATATGTTAACCTTTCAGGCAAAAAGTAATAAGTAAAATGTACTCAATTTTTTACGCCTTATTCCAATTAATCAAAGCTACCTCGTTAGTTGGACTGCTGCGAAAAATCTGTCTGGCTACAAGATGACGCAAAAATTCATATTTTTCGCACATTTCCTTGCGAATTTTGTGCTCCTTTTAAATGCTCAAGATCCAGTTAAGGAGCCGATTACCCTAAACGACTTTTTAACGGGGACCCTGTCCGCGGGGGGATTTGGGGGGTCGTGGGTACCAGGCTCAGGTAAGTATATGCATAAAAGGGTATCTGTAGACTCTTAGAAATCTGGTATAGTCAGACGGATTGATTTCTTGGTATTAAAGTTGTTACCTCATGGTATTAAAATTATGCCGGTGTTTTAAAATTTGCTACCTCTGATATGGAAAAATTTTAATACAAAGCTAAACATGTGTATGCATAGTTTCTTAAAAATACTACCTTGGCAGAGTCAAATATGAAAACCGCGTTGTATTACTTTAATACTGGATTTCTTAGAGTATAGCAAAATTTGCAAATTTGACTCAATTTACATCTAAAAATTTGCAGATGACACTCTTCGCGTAATTTCGGGAAACAACATCTGGGAGTATGACCTCGATACGAAGCAGAACAGATCGGTCGTCACCAGTTCGCAATTTACGGAAAGATTTGTAAATTCGAAAATTAAAAAATTGTTTTGGAAATTTTGGAACTAATTTTTTATGTAATTTATGCTAAAAATTGTAGGGTACTCAAAGTTTGGGACTGTCCGTGTCGAAGGATAACGCATTCATCTTAATTGAACATAGTAGACGACAGGTAGGTTTTTAGCCATATAAAATTTTGCAAACAAAATTCCCTAATCATGTAAATTTTTTCATGATTTCCATAATCATTGTATTCTTACGCAATTGGTGACATAACTTGTTTGTGTAAATTGTAATTGATCCGTGTCACGAATTTGTCGGCTTGATTGATTTGAAAAGATAAGTACGGTTTGATAACAATGGGTCTGATCCTTATCTGTCTGTAGCTCTGGCGTCACTCCTATCTCGCCAAGTACGACGTGCTCGAGCTGGCAACAAAGTAAGTAAAGATATGTATGCATGCATATTTAAATTACCAACAGTTAAATTGAAGTATTCAAATTGTGACGAAAATGCACGTCACCATACCCGACAAACATATTTATTTGGTACATGAACAAAACAACTGCATGATTCACACCTGTTTAAAAATGCCCGAGGAGAAATCACTCTGTCGAATTGAACTTGACGAATTGAATTTGCAATAATCGATAATTCACATATTATGTAAATCGTATGATAATCGAATATTTACATATTATGTAAATTGAATTATGCATTTTTTACACATTTAACGATGCATAAAATAGGTATGGGTTTACTGTGCAGAACTGCGTCCTTAATTTAGTATAATTCTGAAGTTTTTTGCATAAGAACTTATTCATAATTTTGCATAGTTTTCAGCACAAATCGTTGTTCCCAAAATTGGGTTAATTTTTTTAAGAAAATTGGGTCAAATTTTGTCAGAAAATTGGGAAAATTTTATTTACAAATTCGGGCAAAATTTGTACAGAAAATCATCCAAATTTATGCAGAAACCCCGTTACAATTTTTACCAGAAACTGAAAAATATGTGAGGACAGGCACAAAACCGTACCTAATGTTGATCGGGTAATAAATTACTTTGTATTTACAATTGTATATTTGAATATTCAGCCAGTTCAGCGTCATCCAACCTACCGGATTTGAAAACGACCCGCAGATCGAGTTGCAGCTCGTCGTGTGGGACGCGAGTGGTCACGGGGTCGCTTTCGTCTACGGTAACAACGTGTACTACAAGGCAGCGCATGGGGCGGGTCAGGCGGCCGTGCAGATCACGCAGGATGGTGGAGATGCCATCTTCAACGGGATTTCTGACTGGGTGTATGAAGGTGAGTCACTTAATTGCATGGCAGATTTGTTTATCAGAAAGGTATGCGTGTTTGCAAGATAAGGTGAGAGATAAGTGGATAAGGTAAATAATTTATGTAAGTCGTGTTGCTGTGGCAAAGTTGGCTGGTTGTGTTTAAATTGGACCCTGCATGACGAATGTGGTGGATTTATTTATGTTAGGTCTGTACTCCTCCCAAAAAGTGGACAAATGTTCCCATTTAATCGCCTCCCCCATCATCCCCATTGTCATGAAATGAATTACATGTTTTATGCTTGTGCATACATATTGATGTACAAATTTTGGATAATTATCTGACAAACTCGATTTTTAAAATTCTCATGCAAAGAATTGAAATTTCTGTGGAAATCGTCACCCTTAGCATTTTTATGATTGAAATTTTTACAATTATTTTAGTCCAAACAATTTTCTTAACGTGACAAACTTTTTTTAAGAAATAGTCGTTTTTTACTTGTAGAAATGATTTAAATTTTTCCAACGTGATTCGAATTTAGTATTATTTTTGCGTAGAGGAAATGTACGGAAGTCCGGTGGCCATGTGGTTTTCTACGGACAGCTCGAGCCTCGCCTTCGTCCGGTTTGACGACTCCGGCGTCGACTTTTTCCAGTGGCCGCTCTACGGAGAACCCGGCGTGAGGGAGACCGTCTACCCGGTCTATGAACCACTCCGATACCCAAAGGTACTCTTTGCTTAATGATCAAATTTAGTTGGTTATTTGTGAAGTTGCGTATACGATTTACATCATAAAAAATACACAAAAAAATCAAATATACGCAAATCATCCAGTGTACTCGTAAAAGTAACTTTTTTGGAGTTAGCCATGACCATAAAGGAATGCACAAACTGAATCATTGGATATAAATATATCAGATAAGAAAACCTCTTAAATAATAATAATAATAAGCATTTATTATCCTCATTTACATACTAATACTAGTGATTACAAAATTCTGGATTAACAGTAAGAAAAACATATTATCCAAGTGATTTTCTTAAAACAAACTAGAACTGTTTTCATGCTTGCAATACCAAAGCTAAGTAGTTAATCTAATCCACCATAATATAGCCTACCTAATTTACTCAATATGTTTGGGATTTCTAAGATTTACAAGTTTTTCTAATTTACAGGCATAAATTGTTTGAGAAATAGTGGCACACTGTAGTTGCGAACAAAATAAACATGTTTTTGTTTGTTAAATAGCTTCGGCTACTTTACGGTATGTGTCTGTCCGTCTATGGGCAGAATACATCCAGGAGGGCAAAACATAGTCAAACCCGGTTTTCATCGTTGAGCTTTTAATTTTTATTTCCGGTCGAGTTTGGTCAACGAATTAAGTTAGCCCCCTCGCGAGGGGGCGTGGTGGGAAATTAAATTTAGCCTTAATTTTAAGAAATTTTACCACGAAACAATATCGTCAATATTTTTGACCTTTGACGAACCCATGACCGTGAAGATAGATAAGGTCAAAGCTAAAAAAATTCATCGGTATGATTTTGAAGGAAATTTTTCCCTCTCTTAACATTTGTGAGAGCATAAAACTGTAGGGGTTCGTAAACTTCGTAACGCAAATAGGGGAGAAGGTGTGGGTGGTCATGGCCCAATTGTATCGCGCCTATGTGACACATGTTAAAAGGGGGTGGGTGGGTGTCCAAAAAATTAAAAATTTGTCTTCATTGTACATTTTTATGTTTGCCTGACACGATTTTTATGTTTTAGGCCGGACGCGATAATCCCCTCGTATCTCTACACATTGTAAAATTGGATAACCCCACGACCGTTCGACAAATCACTTACCCAGCTGGACAAGATCCACAGTAAGATAAATATTCATTTTTTTCGTTTATTTCTCAGTTGCCAAGCAACTGTTCATATGGCGTGTGACTGAAATCATGATTGCATTAATCTTATCCATCCTATTAACATTGAGGGGATAAAGATATCGTATCTTTCCTATGTTACCTAAATATGTCATGCATGAGCGTGAATATTTATAAACAGATTATGCAAACTTTACGAAAAACCATTTTCACGTACACGATCATCCTTAATGTTCATTAATCTGGATTAATTTGTATTCTCACGCGACAGGTTACAATACTACATCGCCACCATCACGTGGGCTACGGCGAATCGAGTTATTATTCAAAATTTCAATCGACATCAAAACCGAACCGTTTGGAACTTTTGCAACGCCGATGATGGTACTTGCGCTGAGGTGACGTATTTAAAATATTTGCAATCATGATTTAAATTGATCCTCATAAATTAAATAGTTCTTGCACGCTGTCCCGACTCGGTAATTTATCTGAATTTATTTGGGAATGTATTTAATTTATTATTAAGTATAATTCTGCTTAAATTGATCACCGAAAAATTTTTAAAAGCCCAATAGCTAGATGAAAATACTGAAATTTTAAATTTAAAAAAATTCATACTTTCTCCCAAAACTTTTTTAAAGATTTAATAATTTGAATTATAAGCGACATGAAGACACTCTTAAAAATAATATTACCCTTTTAAAAAGAACACTTCACATTTCATTCTAAATTAAGTAAACTATCCATAGACCAAAATTTACTTTTTATAAGGTTAACGCTATCCTGGATGTAGTGTATTTTAGATACTTAATACGTGACAAATTTAGCCTTTAGTCATAAAATTTCATAGTGGTAATATTATTTTTAAGAGTGTATACTTCACAGGTGGCCGACAAATCGGCGGACAACCCGGTCGGCTGGTGGGACCCTCATCGCCCCACGGTTTCCCGTGATGGATCCAAATTCCTCACCTTTGTAAACGCTCACCAGGATACGGACCCATTTCAAAGGTCGTATCGACACATCGCGTCACTAAATTCGGTAGGGCCCAATCCAGAAGTGCCGACCTTAACGGACGGTGCTTTCCATGTGGATTCCATCCTCGGCTGGGATGAGGCGAATGATAGATTGTAAGCGGGAAGTTTTATCTACTAAATTAAATATATGCAAAACCATCCAAAATTTCTTCCTTATTCTTATAAATTTGCAAACCTGTTCACATTCATTTAATTAGTGGATATTGAACAAATCGTAGGTTCATTTGTCAAGAATTTCATGAAGAATGAGTGAATAATTGTTCAATATTTTTCAATGAATAAATATTGAATACATAGGTAATTATTCATTTCATACACGTGGACAATGAGTGAATAATTTCATTCGTAATTCGTTTTTGGGCGATGTTTTGCGTGATATTTGAGAAATTCATCTAGATACATGATTAGGCTAATTTGACATAACGTTAATAAGTAAACATTCAATAGTGAATAATATAGATTGTCAAATTTTGGATAAATGAATAATGAATGAACATTTTTTTTTAATTTCTAAATTGAATCAGTTTTAAATGAAGAAATATTTCTTTAACAGCTACATACATATGTACATATGCAACTTTGTAGAGTATTTTCTGTTTTCGTTTTTTATATACATTTTATTCTTTTTGGTTTTACCTCTTTTTCGAAGCTTTAATTACGGAAGTTATTTAACTTGTTTAGATACTTTTCCGGAACTGGCCTCCCCTCGCCGTTGGGTAACCCGAGCGAGCGACATGCGTATTACGTTGCCCTGAGCGGGCCAAATTTGACACCGCAATGTTTCACTTGCGCCCTTCGTAACGGATTCGATGAGGAATGCCATTCCCACTCGGTCTCCCTCAGCGCTAATTTCAAATTTTACATGCACACCTGTCGAGGACCTGGTGTTCCCGAGGTCACCACGAGATTCACTTCGGTGAGCGAAAATTTACTTTTAAAAAGCTTGAAATTGGTCAAAATTGACATTTTCTTTCTTCAAAATTCTTAATTTTAAAGAGCATACAAGGTTTGTTTAAATGCAGGAGTTTGGAAAACTTAGGAGATTTTTGACTTTTAGAACGAGTTTGAAATAGTGTTATACATGCATAAATCAATTGGTCACGAATTTGGGAAATCTTGTTTTACATTTCTGATTTTTTGTTCATATTTTACAAAAATACGAAATTTGAAGCTTAATAAAATACATACAAGCTAATTTATCTTCCTAAAATGCAGAACCACACCGTCGCCCACACGTGGAATAACAACGCCGCAGTGAGAGCACGCCTCGAAACGAAATTGCTTCCATCCGTGACTGAAATGGAGGTTGACGTCGCAGGTGGTTTCAAGGCCAAAGTGAGACTCCTTCTTCCGCCAAATTTCGATGCAGCTAAAAAATATCCTATGATGGTCGATGTGTAAGTTTAGCTTTGTTATTGAAGATTACAATATAAGTATTTTGGTCGTATCATGATAGCACCGATCCAACAATGTCCGATCCGTCGGATCTGACCGGATTTTAAATCAGAGCGTTTGCTCCAACACTAAATCCGATTCGACAATATTGGGTCCGACGGATTGAATTATGATATCGAGAACGGACTGCGAAATACCGATCCGGTCCAATATGTAGATCGAATTTTCTTGGAACATTAATAGGCGTCTTCAAAATTTGTGAAAATGAGAACATGAATATAAAAAATATAAAATATACAAAATTCTTACATACAAAAAATCATCCATGTTTGCAAATTCATGGAAAAATGCTTCATAAAAAATCCCTCCAAAATTGTATATCCAGGTTTTTACAAAATCAATGTTGAACTCTCAGGAATATACATTCACGCTTCGCTTTTCCAGGTATGGTGGCCCAGATTCGCAAGCAATCACGCAAGATTACGGGATCAATTGGGGCTACTATCTGGCCAGTTCGAGAGGCGTGATTTATGCAAAGATTGATGGGCGTGGGTCCGCCAGACAGTCGGCCGAACAGAAGTTTGCTGTCTATAGAAATTTGGGCTCGGCTGAGGTAGAGGATCAGATTTCTGTGGCCAGGTAATTACCAGATTTACATTTAAATAACTACTAAAATTTGCAAGGAATAATTAATTACTTCGAGCAAAACGTCTACTTTCCGAAACAGATTTTTAAATTGTTAATATTCACTCTTACGTTGTAAACCTCAGTTCAAAATAAGTAGTTGCTAAATGTAGAATTTGATTCTAGGCACCTTATCACCTTGGGATACATTGACCCTGAGAAGACTGCGATCTGGGGATGGTCCTACGGCGGTTATGCCACCGCAATGGTGGGTACAAATATTTATACCAAAATATGACCTAAAAACTAACATTAAAAAGCAGCACTAAATAAGTAACATGCTCTACTGCATTTTTTCCATGTACTTATTTAGGCGCTCGGGAAGGACAGTGGGAACGTGTTCAAATGTGGAATTTCTGTAGCTCCTGTCTCCAGTTGGTTATACTATGGTAAGAAAGAAATGAAGTCCATATCCTGGTAGCTCTTGCAACACAAGGATCCAAAAATTACAAAGTAAATAATTTTTGAAAGTTGCATGCGATTTTTATTTGGTTTTCTATTTCTTTAAGATACGATTTACACCGAGCGATACATGGGACTTCCATCGGCTGAGGATAATTGGGCGGGTTACAACCAATCCTCCGTCATGGCTCATTTGACGGGAATTGCTAACAAGGAGTTTCTTTTAATTCATGGTAACGCGGATGACAACGTTCACTACCAGAACTCCATGATGCTAGCAAGAGCCCTCGAGCAGGCAGATATCTTATTCGAATCGTTGGTTAGTGTAATAACATTAAAAATTTTTGTTTCTTTTTTAGTTGTTTTTTAGTTGTTTTTATGATTCAAATCAAAATTTAATGTTTAAGCAGTTAAATTTTGTACATAAACATTTCAATCAAATTTACTTCGATTATTTTTCGCTGAAACTGAACTTCGCCACTTCAAAATTTATAACAGAATAATCTTGCTATTTACAGAGCTATCCTGAGGAAAACCACAACATTAATGGACCTGGGATGCGGCTACACTTGTACCACTCTATCGAGCACTTTTTAACCAGGGATACATGCTTCGGCGAACTTGGAAACCCTGGAGAAGAAGGGACCACGACTAGCACACCACCTGTTACTGGGACTGGCTCGACCGATCCAGGGACCGGTAGCACAGAAGGATCAACTCGGGCTGGAGCATCGAGCAACCACGGGTTGACTTATCTAATTCTAGTACCGCTTATCGGTTTTGTTAAAGAATGGTAAACTATTAAAAAAATTATAAGAATGTGTAGATTTGAAAAGAAAAGGTTTAAATTAGTAATTTGAACAATTCTTAATTTGTCGGGTTTTCTGGAATAAAAAACGTTGCAATTAAAAAAAGTGCCGAATATGTAAACATGTATCGTCGCTTTAGTTATATATGGCTGCAAAAGTTTTCAGCTTCAAAACCCGCATGGAATAGCAATCCATACAAGTTCGCTCATATATGCAAAACCCGAAAACAGAAGTTTCTGGTCCATTTTTTAAGGGAAACGATACTTCGTGATATAACGTATTGTCACATTTCCTCCCATTTTCATTGGACAACGTATGTTTCCAAATTGTTTTCGAGGCCTCAAAGTTCTATTTCCGACTCTGGTTTCTGAATCGACAACTTTTGAACGAATGGCGACAATATGCATGTATACGTTATGAAAATGCACATCTGTTTTAATGAAAACCACATCATATGAATATGAAATTCAGCATAATAAAATTCGTATTTGATGCCTGGAAATCTCCAAGCTCTGAAAAGACCGACTTAAAACTTTGTTCTATGCTCTTAAAAAACTCGAGTGGAAAACGCATCTACTTTTCAACTGGTATGGATGTCCATTTGGCGCCACGCCATGGCGCCAAATATGAGTTTTACACGGAAATATGAATGAATCCTTCATCAGGGGTCCTAGTAGATTCTAAAAAACATAGTGGGTACCCTGGACTCAAACGACAGGTCGTGAGTGTCCCTTGTTAGTTATCTTGGTACGCATTGGAAAATAAACGATACAGTATGTAACGATTTTTTTTTTCAAAAGTTCAAATTCAGTTTTTTTTCAAGAACATGTTGGTATTTACATAGTTTTATACCTTGTACCAACAATATTTCGGACTACATAATTGCAAATTTTTGAATATATTCATATAAAATTGTTATAGTTGTAGATATTTGAACGTCAAGATACTGTGAATTGGACGTTACATAAGTCTAAATAGCTACGGAAGTTTTATATTTCTGTGACGTGCTTTAGCTCCAATAACGAGTTCAAATCGTCTGTGCGTCGAATCGGCCAACCATTAGGTGACACATTGGTCGGTTTTAGTCCACTCCTATTTATACATATAATTAGAGTTTTCAGAGAAGCCATGTTTTTCAGTTTTCTTCTGGCCTTCGGACTCTTCAGAATTCTAGAAATTTGCTCGTTCGGATTGATTAGCATTTGGAAGGATTTTGAAATTTCGAAGTTTTTACAGGTCCGACATCCACTGCTAATAAGTAGCTAGGGTCCAGGAAAAATAAGTAGATACGTTTAGAATTTGGTGCCAATAAGTAATACGACGAATTGAAGCTACATATTAATCGCAAGAATTAATATAAAATAGAATCATATAAGTTTATCAAAAACTACTGACAAGTTTACTAATCTACTAATCAGTCGTGGCTCAGGCTCAGCTAAGCTGTGCCGATTGGTCTTGTCACACTATGCATATGGGATATGCACATGGGATAAAGTAAAAAAAATGAATTCCAATGAAGCGAAATGGAATGGATATGAAGAAATATGACTGAATATGAGTGAAAACCTTCATTTACAAATCAGAAAGACTAAATTTTAAATGACAAATATTTCTTTGAATATATTTACGCCAGCCACATTTATAAGCTTAATTAGTTCAGACTTTATTATTGTATATTTCCTTCGATCCTAATTTACCACGTGTGGATAACGATTGTTTGTCGAAATATTAACAAATTGACTAATCATAGAAGCAACTTATTCAGTGGGAATGATTACAACTTCCTCAAAACCAATCAGCATGTTACGTGCAAAAACACAATTTGTGTAGAATTTTAATACGGAGAAGCATGATTACATATTTTGGGCAAAGCTGTAAAACTCATTTCCTCTTAACATATCCGAGTTTATCATTAATTATATATGAAATACAGGAAACTTTGCATACCCGGGGTTGATCGAATGTTGGCAAAATTAATCCCTATAATATTACACATAGCCTGCGTTGCGGTGAGTTGTCGAGACATTAATCAAAATCTTTTGCATCAAGGGAACACAAGGTGCGAAGTAAATTTGAATTGATTTTTGATGTAAGTTCGGTTTTGTTTCACAGGCTTGCAATACATAGGGAAGTGAGCCTAGCGCAAGAGACTGGCCTAAAAATGTGGATATCTCGAAACATAGCAGACTTGGTTTACTAAAAATTTGCGATGATAAAGTAGTGACCCTACCCTACAATCACCCTCAACCATAGTTTGCTAGGTTTCGTGTGTAGCTTCCACAACCACGTTCTTCCTGAAAACTCCCAAAAAATTTTTCTCACCCACTTGGAGCTAGTTTGCTACCACATTCTGTTGAATCCTGTCCATCCATTCGGTGTTTCTGATTCAGTAGGATATAAGCTTTCAAAATCTGTCCCTACTTTTCAATGTGACCACATCGGGGAAAGTTTGGACCAATTTCCTCTCGGCAAAAAAATCTAAATTTTTTAACTTTTTGGCAATTTTTAGGAATTTTGACTTATTGACAGCGAGTTACGTTCAGCCAAAAAGTAATTTTCCGCAGAAGTTGATGACCAATGACCATGGATTCCAAAATTCATTTGATCCAGTTTTTCGCGTACGTATTTTGGTCACTGGGGTCATTTATAGTTAAGAATTCAGGTTCATTTCTTTTCTGACAAATCCCCGAATTCTTTGGGGCTTGCTTGTCACTTTTTATTTGAAGCCACATCAGACTTCCTGACCCTTGACTGAAAAGAAAACCGGCCATTTGAAAATTCGGCTAAATTCTATTCGGGTCATCCACATGAGTTTAGTTTCGAGCATATTTTTTGAAAAATTGTATGCAAAGTGTCCACTTTGAATTCGAGCTAAAAAAGTTGCGGGTATTATTTAAAGTAATACATCATGATTTTTTAAGTCAACATAAGTGTGTCTAAAACTTCAACAACAAATTTTATTTTTAAAATCGCGTGCGGAGCCACACGGCGTTTTTCGACCAGTCTCCTACGCTAGGCTCGCTTCCCTACATACTAATACGGACTGAAGTGTTAGAATTCCATACAAAATATTCGTCAGACATACATATCCAGACATTTTGAAGACAACGTAATGCAAGTGAGACTACGTCATAGCAATAATTCAGATATAATACAGATAAATACCACAATCGCCTTTGCTGTTGTACCAATAATTCCAGCATAATTAATTTTAAAAGCAGTAAATAGTATTTTAATTCAGACCCATAATGTTTTTCAAACATTTCCTCGTACCTTTCCTTATAACAACGGTGTTATCAGTGTTCGGCAAGAATGACCTTCCCCCCGGGAATTTTGGACACTTTGGGCCCTGCGTAATAAAGTTTTTAAGAATGAGCGATAGCTTGCGATTCATCGATCTAACCGAGCACCTTATCCATGTCAATAATCCAAGCAACTTAATCTACACTGTGAATGGGCGATACAACTTTTCCAACCACTCGATACAAGACGAGAAGATGGCACTGGACTTTAAGTTCTATGAGGTTTGCACTATCACGGTTTTCGTTAAATTTGGTACAGAAGATAATGCATTCCGCAACCTGTATTTCTCTCTCACACGGGACGCGCATAGAGGTTTGGCACATTCCATATTTATAATAATTTCTGAGGAGAATTACAACCTATTACTTTCTGTGCCTGAGCACCGCGTGCCGTTCAGGATTTTCGATGTTGTCCTAAAAATAAATCCGCCTGGCTCAGGTTCATTCCTTGGAGTAGAAATGAACTGGTTTTTTGTCTGCATCTTCTGCAGACAGCGTTTTGTTTCAATCAGCTATACCCCGCAAATTAAGAAGATAACAGTAGCGACGTTCCAGGAGCATGGGTGGAGAAACGACGTTTCAATCGGAGCAATGTTGGATGGCAAGTTAAGGCCAGGTGGAGTATGTGGAAAAGGGCAATACTATATTGCACCGCGTAGGGAGGCCTGTAGCATACAGGAAACGCAATATTTAACCATGACTGCAACTTTAAACGTCACGTTTGTCCAAGTTCCACTATCAGAGTATCAAACGTATAAGTGGGGTTACTACCACACATCTATGATATGCTCAGAATTTTATTACGAAATAAATATGTTACATTCCTTCCGGCACGAGGGGTACGCAATATACTGCAACTTCAATATTTGGTCGGAAAATTCCGACTTGGCCACGTGGGTGTCACCCTTTGCTTGGGAAGTATTATTGGGATTTACTTTAATCATGTTGACTGTCATAATGATAGAGATTTTGAAAAGTTTTTTTAAACGTGCCAATTGTTTTGTAAACTTCGAGTCAGTAAAAAATGTTGGACAGGTCGTGTTCACCATTTGGGCTATCCTTGTCAGACAAACGCTGATTATTAGCCATATCTCGGTATGTATTTTTGTCTCTTTCCTCTTCACAAGTTTTGTGATGCTTGTACAATATGAATTATACTTGACGTCAAATCTGGTGAGACCACCGCGCTACGTGCCACTTCACACACTGAGAGAGTTTTTTGCTAACGATTATACCCTTGTTTATTCGTCGAAGGAGATTGACAATTTGGTGTCACTGCGTTCCCAATTGGAAGAAGAGTTTGTCCAGAAATCACTGGGCGATTTTCCGCATAATAAAACCATGGTTATAAGGTAAGGCAGAATGCGCTAAGAACAATTTTGTTTCATAGCACTACTTATCACGATTGACTCAAAAATATGCAAAAGTTCAAAAAGTAGAGAGCGAGAGAGAGAGACCGATCAAGTATAAAAAGTTACATTGTGTTCCTAGCACACTTTCAAAAATTTAAGTTGATAGCTTTGCCACCTGGATTTACATACCTACACTAGGGAGCAAATTTGTTCGGGCAAGACTATACTCACAATTTAAATTGCAATAAGTTGTTAACTGGTGATGATATCGAATTCAATTGGTTTGCATTTAATTCACCATTTAGTAGTATTTCAGTAGTATTAATTTAGAAAATGGTTTAAATTTCCGCATGATCCTAATAACACTGAAAAAAGTCATAAAAAAGAGAGCAAAATTATTCGGGCAAAATACGCTTTTATTGTATAGCGCCAAATATAATTTTTTTGAATTGCCCGTGTTTGTTCGC